GACTATAATGCGATCGTTTGTAGACTCGGAGGAGAACCAGACGGACGAGGACCGAGAGTACCGTGAGGAGTATGGAGACGACTACACTGAAGGTGCCACATCCCACCCAATCTCGTAGCACCTAATACGCATGGCTAAAATAGAAATGCTAGTGCTTTACTTTATTGTTATGATCACACTATGATAGGACTTGCATGGTAGTATGCTTTCTTGATGGCCTTTACCTTGACGCAACCTTACCCCTGCTCACCCTGCTGTTAGGCTAGTCACACATTTGTTGCTATATTTCATTGCTTATTACTTCTACTACGCTTGTACTACATTGATGCGTGGTGAAAAACTGGTGTTATCTGGACTATGGGGAGAGTGTTGCGTGTGTGACTCGGGTGCGTGGAGGGTGAGGGTTGTGTCGACCAAGTTGGAGTATACGATGAGCCTAGGGCAAGTCTTGCCGTGGGGTGCTACCTGGGCACCCCTAGAATGGATACCTATGGTGGGTAAATGGTATATGAGGTGGCCCTGGGTGTGAACCTATGATGGGAGGAGCCCAGGGTGGAGGTGCTGTGGTGGCACAGTAAATGGAAACCCTGATGAAGACATTCTGCCTTAGTCATCCCTAAGGACTTACTAGTACTTAGATTTACCGGGAAACCTTACGTACCACTCGCCCTATATGGTGCGGGACGGCCGGACTACTGGGTAGGATATTGCCATTACTGCTAGGTTGATAGCGGACAGTGTAAGGAGGTACGGGGCGCGGAGGATTTCCCCCACACCTTTCGAGACTTCATGGAGACATTGTGGACCCAGCTCATGACTCACAGTTTTAGCCACCCCTAGACTAGACTTGGGGTGTACCAGGTCTGAATGGTAGAGTGGCATTATCCTAGGCTAGCAAGTGGCTGGAATCAGCCCAGTTGACGACGGTCAGTGAGGAAGGCGGATCTTGTGGTTATGTAAAACCTCTACAGAGTGTATGGTTGATCGATCGATACATATGCCGACTTATCGGCTATGGACCTTTCCTAGGTTTCGCTTAAACTAGATAGTGAGATGAGTCCTTCTCTTCTCCCCCTGGGAGTGAGTGTTTGGACATAGCCAGGGGCTACGGGCCTTGAGACAATGCCAAGAGGGAGTTGGCCTATCGACTGAGCGATGGTATGGTTGTGATGTGGTGATGGTGGTAAATCGATCCTAGGATCAAAACCTGGCTCTAGACAGAAATGGGGTGGAATGGGTGTGGGAATGGTGTTAAAACTTGACCAACTATTATTATGTACTTGATATGCTAATACATAGGAAACCCCAGCCTTATAGGTTCCTTTTGATTATATCCAACTTGCATCCCATTTCCACAAAGCAATGCTCATAGGGTGGGAGTGGCCAGTACAAATCGTACTGATAAATTTTGGCACACAGGTTCTGCTGAGGAGTATAGCTCCGAGGAGTTTTACGGTTGAGGGGTTCGTTCCTACGCTCAAGTTTCGCGATCCTATCTTCAAGCTGTTCTGAATGAATGCTACTTTTGTTTCCGCCAATGCGGCGATGTAATAATTTATGTAATTCTGCACTATTTGTACTCTGATATTATCATTGTACGGATGTGATATTCGACTGGAATTTGGGTAATGTGATCTACAATGGTCTTATTACACTTCGACTCTGTGGATTTCCCTTCGCGGAAATCAGGTTGTTTCACCTGTAGAGAGCACTTGATCCTTGCGCGGATCAAGGGGGAGCTACACCCTTGCGCGGGTGCTCCAACGAGGACTAGTGGGGAGTGGCGACTCTCCGATACCTCGGCAAAACATCGCCGCGTTTCCTCTCCTCTCTTTACTTTGAGAATTTACTTTGAGCATTACTTTGAGCAATTCAATTCTTGTCATTTACATTCCTAGAATTGCCATGCTAGAGTAGGATTGGAACTTAGGTTGCAAGTCTATTTGTGCGATAGAACATTAGAAACACTTTCTAGGCACAAGGGGTTAATTGGGCTAACCATAGGATTTAATTATTGCAAGAAAATTTAGAATTAGCCCAATTCACCCCCCCTCTTGGGCATCTTGATCCTTTCAAGCACCATTGGGAGAAATAAGAATAATACCATTACCTTGGCCATCTTTACAAATTGATCTATCAAAGTATAATTTTCATGAAGTAAAAGTAAGGTAATTTACTTTATCATCTAAATCAATACCATGATCAACAAAAAAATCAGCAAGAACTTGACCTTTTAATGTTTTCAATGGTTCAAAAGTCAAGTCATATTCTATTAGTGCATATGCCCATTTGCCTATCCTTCCACGAAGAATTGACCGATATAACATGTGTTTTATCACATCTGCCTAACAAGCAACAACACATGTACTAGACAAAAGATAATGCCTCATCTTAGCACAAGCATAGTACAGTGATAAGCATAATTTTTCTACATGGACATATCTTGTCTTGGGATCAAGAAGCCGGTGACCAACATAAGCAATCACATATTCTTTACCTTTGTCTTCCTGAGTTAAAACAACCCTAATTATCTTCTCTTCGGCAATAATATATAATTTGAAAGGAACTCCCCTTCTAGGTGCATGAAGAACTAGTGGTGTTGACAAATATTCCTTTATCTTTTCAAATGTTTCTTGTTGCTTTGCCCTCTAAGTGAATTCAGAATCATCTTTCAGTTTCAATATGGGGGTGAAAGGAATAATTTTCTCGGACAAGTTAGCAATAAATCTCCTCAAGTAGTTCACTTTTCCCAAGAACTTTTGCAAGTCCTTCTTGCATGTAGGCGCCTAAACATTCTTGATCTTCTCTATCCTCTTGGGATCAACCTCTATTCCTTTATCATGAATTATGAAGCCTAAAAACTTCCCAGCCGATACTCCAAAAGCACATTTGAGTGGGTTCATCTTCAATCCAAAGCGGTGCATCCTCTCAAAAGTAAGACGCAAATTGGCCAAATGAGATTTATGGGAAGACGATTTAATCACAATATCATCAATGTATATCTCCATAATCACCCCAATTTGATAATGGAAAATCAAATTCATAGCTCTTTGATAAGTAGCGCCTGCATTCTTTAGCCCAAATGTCATCACAACCCACTCAAAGAGACCAACAAACCCAGGACATATGAAAGCCATCTTAAACATATCTTCTTCGGCCATGAAAATCTGATTATAACCGGCATTACCATCAAGAAAGCTAATAACCTGGTGTCCTGAAGCATTATTAATAAGCATATCAGCTATAGGCATAGGATATTCATCTTTCGGAGTAGCTCTATTCAGATCTCTAAAATCAATGTAGACTCTGATCTTTCTAGAATCTTTCTTCTCAACTGGTACAATATTAGAGACCCACTCTGCATACCTGCATGGCTGAATAAACCCTGCTTGCAACAGCCGATTAATCTCCTCTTTAATCCTATCATAAATTGTAGAATTAAATTGGCGGGGGGTTTTGCTTGAAAGGCCTGAACCCTTTCTTAATGGGAAGCCGATGCTCAACAAGCTCTTAGCTCAATCCAGGCATCTCTGTATAATTCCATGCAAAACAATCAACATATTCCTTGAGAAAGCGTGATTAACTCATCTTTGTAATCGGCTTCCAAGTTTTGATTAATAAACATCGGTGGGACACAGCCATCCCCAATATCAACTTGTTCCAAAGAGTCGGTCGACGTAAAACCTTGGCCCAACTTATCAAGCTCAGCAAAATCATCAATAGCTTCACAGACATCAGTCTTATTAGCCCGATAATGTTCAACATGATGTTTTAGCCATTCAATGTTGGCATCCATTACAATAAATTGATTACATGATGATATTGAGCCAATTATAAATAGGATTCAAAGATATAGGAACAAAACCTTGCCTGATAACACTAATAAATTCAAAGCTAGAAAGGTCCCTACTAGACAAGCAAGCAATAGCATCATGCCCCCCGAGCGAAGGAGCATCGGCTGCAACAACATCAGCCAATGAATCTGAATGCACAACCTTAATAGCATCTCTCACCCATTGGATGAGAAATTAGTGCAAGCTAGATGGCACGTAGCAATTGGCATGGATCCAATCACGCCCCAGTATCAAGTTGTAGCTACCTTGCACATCGACGACAAAGAACGCTGTGGCCAAAGTCTTGTTTCCAATGGTGAGCTCCATGTTAGAAACTCCTCTAGCCAGGATAGGAGCACCTCCTCCAACACCACTGATGGTCATGTTGGTCTTGATCAACTCCTCATTGGTGCCACCGAGCTTCTTGTAAAGCGGATATGGTATCAAGTTCACTATTGCCCCACTATCCACCAACATGCTATGGACCGGTGTGCCATTGATATGTTCCTTCACATGTAGAGGTTTGAGATGGTTAACGGAGTCATCTGGTTTTTGAAATACCGCGCTCTCCATTGCGAAGTTAAACTCCACCGCCAAAGAGTCATCTGCCATGATGTAGTAATCGGTAGACAAAACAACAACATTGACCTCTGCTCTCTCCGGGGTGACCTCATAGTCAACCATCTCCTCGTCAGGAACCTTAGGGACCTCCATGCCAACCAGAGCAGCAACGGTAGTAGCGAAATCATCGGAGGATACCTTAGAGGCACCCGGGACAGCAGGAGTCGGCTCAGCCGACTCAGAAGTTGGCCTAGCTGACTCTGGAACTTCCAGAGCAGCAGGGGCAACAGCAGTCGGCTTAGCCAACTCCATAGTTGGCCTAGCCAACTCCATAGTTGGCCTAGCCAACTCAGGGTTCCCTAGAGTGATAGCAGGGGTAGCAGTTGGCTTAGTCGACTGGCCAACAACAGGGGTCGGCTTAGCCGACTAGCTAGCGACAGCAGCGGCATTTTGACCTTCTAGAGGGATTTTGACGTGTTTGGGGTTGAAGACTTCACCCTCTATCTTGGCAAGCTTCTCCCTCTTCTGTTGCTTATGTCGGGCATGCTGCAACTTACACCATTGAGTCTTATTCAACCCATGAGGACGCCATATGGGTTGCTAGTACTAGGAATCTCGTTCATCGCCTTTCTTCTCTTCAACTCTAGCAACTTCTTTAGGAGCTTCATCTTGCTTGGATGCTAAAATTTCTTCAATTGCAATTGGCCCATCATGATTAGTGACAGGAGCTTCCATGGAGCCGATTGTGATAATCGATTGAGGCCTAGCTCTTGGTGGGGGAATGATAGGAGCCTCAACCTTCTTAGGCACATAAACTTGTTGTATTGGTGCTTTTCCCAATTCTTGTGGAGTCAAAGTCCTGGAAGTAATCACACGCTTTTGATTTGCACCGCCGAAGCTCAATTGACCATTGTTCAATCGGCTAAACACAGAGGTCCTTGGGACTTGACCAGCAGGCTCTTCCCACCTTTGTTCACTATGCATAGGCACCACCGGGAGATACGACACCCAAACTCCATGGGGACTCTATTGTGGCATAATCGAAGGTGGAATCGGGGGACCCCAGTGAGATACACGAGGAGCAATTCTCTAAGGTGGAACTGCTGGTTGCACCACCGCCATACTTGTCATCTTCTCGCTTAGGCAGAGTAGACTCTTTTTTTAACGGTCGATTCTAGGAATCAACCTTTTATTGCTTATACTTGGTCATGAGCCTATCAAAGGTGCATTGCTTCTTCACAAGCTCTCCCTGGTTCTTCTTCTCATTAGTCTTCCAGGTGCTAATCTCCGGTCGTTGTGGAATAAACGTGCGCAAAACGCGAACACCAGAAGCCCCGGGGCTGCGGGAACCATGGGAGTTGGCTAAGCCGACTGGGGCAGTCGGCTTAGCCGACTTGGCTAAGATGGAGGTGGAGGTGGAGTCGGCTAAGTTGATTGGCTCTGTTGTGTCCTAGAGTCAGCTTGGCAGATGTCACACCCCAAAATTTCTGATTTTGGGTTGTGCATAGAAACTACTAAATAAAATGAATTATTTTAATATTTAGATAAAATTTACCAAGTTTAGTTTGAGCTAGCGCAAATTTAGTTATAGGAAAAATATGAATTTTCAAAGTTTTCTATTTTTGATGGGCTTTTGGTTGATGTGATGTCTGCTTGGTGCTTCTTTGTGTGTTGAGAGTAAGCAAAGTCTTTAAAATGCGTTAGTTGGTCGATTTTCCTTCTTCGGCACGCCTTTATCTTTTTCCACAATCAAATTCTTTGTTTCTCGACTCAAGTTTTTGTTGGGAGCTTCCTAAAATATTTTCTTTGTAACACAAATCACTCCTTTCAGTTTCTCGTTCGTCAATCAATCTCTATAAACTTCTCAGGAATTTTTCTAGCTTTTTGTAAAACTTGTTCCTATTTGTTTGCGAGCATAATTTAATTTTAGATGCTCCAAATTATCTTATCATGGGCTCCAGATACTTTATTTGGGTTCCTCATGTTGCATAATGTCTCTGAGAATTTTCTCCAAATTTTTAGAGGTTTCGGAGTATTTTTCGCGGCTTAAATAATAATTCTAGATTTTTTTGGAATTATTTTATCCACAAAATTAATTAAATCTAAAAATAATAAATCTCTTATTTTTCCCGATGCTCAAGCCCATGTGCAATAATCCTAATAAATTCTAAAGGCCCATGCATTTATTTACTAATGGACTTTATTTATTATTTAGGCTCATTAGTAAATGTGGAGGGTGCAACATCAATTAGTACTATATTGCTAGTTGATGTAGATGCGAGGAGTTTTTCTCCCAATAAATATATACCAACCCCTTGGGCAAAGCACATCAAAACTACCATAATGGGAGCTCCTAGTTTGGAAAATCCCTTGTGTAGTAAATTAGATTTTTCTCCTTCTCTCGCTGTCGCGCTGCCCAGCCCGACCATCCTCTTCTTCGTGCAACAAGTCGAGCCCACCCATGTGCAGCTGCTGTTGCCATGGCCATGTGGTGGCCGTACTGGAGGCCAAAGGATGAAGATGAGGTAATTACGAAATTACCACCAGTTTGTAATATCGTCGTCTTATATTCGTTTTAAGTCTGTTTCGAGTCGTTCCAATTGCGTTCGATTCGTATCGATGTGATCTACATGCTAGTGTCGTCATTTTTCATGTAAGTGACTTTTATATATATGCTTAAATATGAATTTGATTAATATGCATGCAACTAGTTTTTATAAATAAAAGCAACATAATTATATACAATGCTCTTTTGCAAATAAGTTTTAACATGACTAGTTGCTAACATAAATATGTTTCTAAATTATAATATGTTTAGTCTAAACACACATATCAAATTTGATTAGATGTTCTCACATGTCAGTTTGTATTTGCAAGTTAAAGTTGAATTGGCATAAATGATATCAAAATATTTATAAACAAAATATGATTAGCTTCAACTCAGTTTTAAGTATAAATATGATTTGTTTAATCTAAATTAATGCTACTCACAGTTTTTCCTAATTAACATAAATCAAGCTTATAGTCTTCTCTTTTCTTTTATAATATAAAACCCTATAGTCGTTTCTTTACAACCGTAGTTCCGATTAGCGTGCTTTTCATGTCTGTGTGTTCATAGCGACGTGTAGAACATTTTTAAAACCTTTTACTTGCTATTTCATATGTTTGGTGTACTATTCTAATTTAGTTCTATTGTTTGCTTCGTGTATGATTGTATGGATGCTTGTGTGGTGCTTTATGATCATGTCTAGTCGGTGAGAAGTAAGTTGGTGAAATAGAAGAAGTTGGTGATCCAGAAGAAGTCCTTTGGAGGTTACAATTCAATAGAAGAAGGATCTGAGTTTAAGGCAAGTATAGCATGGGATCTTCCTTATTGTCCTATATACCTTTAATCATTTAATTCATACTGCATGTGTCTACCTCGACTGCCACTAAGGATTTCCTAGTACTTTGTTGTGACAGAACCGCCCAATTTATACAAGATCAAGTACGGCTGTCCCCACTTAACACGTTGACACGCGCATACTCTCACTTATATAAACCCGGTAGTCCGCCGAGTGTCACGCAGGACCTCGGTAAATCAACATCACAACCAAGATCGCGTGATTAAGCAAATATACATCACATACCCAGAGTTGCAGCGGAAATAATATTACAAATAGGTTCATAAATAATAGTACAAGTTTGAATTTCAAAACCGATTAGTGAAAACAACATAACTTTCAAATGATTACATTAATATAAGTTCCAAATACGTTGCTAGCATAAGTGAAACCTCAGATAAAAGCATATAGATGAGAATAAATATAGAGTCACCGAGCCCACCGGCGGTTAGCCACCATCTTCAGCAGGCCGAAACCTCACCTGCAACATGGTGGGATAAACCCTAAGTACTCGAATGTACTCAGCTAGACTTACCCATCATAACCAGAAATAAAATTGACTCCAAGGAGTATGCAAGGCTTTATAAGTGGAGGTAGCTTGACAATATTTTGCATAAAAAGCGATTAACTCAATTATACAAATATAATTCTATCATCAAGTTAATTAGAACTATCCATCTCTAGATTAGCAACTATCATGTGCCAAACATATGGTATATCAATTGAGAAGCATACAATAGTAACCATAGCAGGTATTGTAATTCCATATTCATCCGAACCATCATATTCCATAACACAGTTACTACGATGTTGGAGCTAGCCAAGTTTCTCACTATCCGGGAGAGACGGCGATTCGAATCGATTTCAACCAGCTGGGAATTTATTCCTAACACAAACCCAGGCAGACCAGATCAACGGTCACATTAGGTCACCTTTGGTACAACTCAGGTACACATTTCGTGGGTCCGTACTGCGCCGCACAGTCTGGAACACCAGATGCCAGGATGCTCAGGCCCAGCCTGCCCTTGGGCTCAGTCTGATCGTTCCCTGGAAGGAGCGCACAACAGAACGGGTCCCGGCCTGAATTGAATTACTCGGCTTCGCGGTCGGAACGAGTTATCCGGTCAGCTAAGTGAGAGGCATGCGTTCAATCTTGTCAGAAGTTCCAACAATGGTACGGTCCTTAATCGACATAGATGGGGATAGATCCACACCCAAGACCTCCATGTCTTGTTGCTTCTCTATCGACATCATGCCCGGTCTCCATTTACATTAACCATGGTTCTTTTCCATGATAGCAATTATAACCAACCGTGCTCCGGTATCCACCTATATCTCGTAGGTGACAGGAAATCACCCGACTTCTACCGGTCTAAGCATGGCTAAGCATATATTCGATCCTGGACCTATACTGGTTAAAGGTGTAATAGCTGGACAAGGAATGTATATGCATCAAGTGGTTCCATTCAACTCTTATAACCTAATGCATCAATCATAAGTATTTAAGTAATCATTTGTAAAATACTGGGAGACTTAGAATGCTCCGGGGCTTGCCTGGGATCCGACACAAGTCAGTTCAGTTAGCTTGCACCGTCCTGGTGACATCTCAGATCCTAGCACTCGCTTAGTCCTTCCATCTTCGAGACAGATCCATCAAACACCGTCTTCGGGTTTGGCTCCAACATCTCATCCTTCACGTGGTGCATCTAGCGTACCTAGATGAGATGCAATATGCAAGTGTATAAATATGAAGAATAGTACCATGAGACACATCACAAAATAGCAAGCAAGACAAGCATAGTTTACACTAACACACTTAACAATATACAAGCAAACACTATAATTGGAATCTGCCAATTTCTGGACATGCAAACAGCAGCTACAAGATTTAGCTATAACTGGAGTTACACCAATCCAAATGACTTGAAAGAAGACATTATGGAAAGCTTATGAAATTTTCTACAATTCATCTTTAATCATCTTAGCATGATTCTCAAGTTAACTAAGTCAAATATATCCATTTACTGAAACTGGTCCACAATTGACACAAAGCAGCCATTTCTGAAACCCAACTTTAAACAGGCATAACTCACAAACCACAAGGCCAAATATCACCAAATTTTAACAGCAGCTAGATACATGAATTATCTACAACTTTTGTATAAACAAGTTTCACAACAAAGCACATTATCATAAAGAACTTTGCTAAGTTCCCAGATCTGTCCATAAACCACATCGGCAAGAAAATAATTATTAACTTATGTTGCAAATTCATAATTGGGCAAAACCAACTTTACCAACATTTCACACATGACTAAAGAACACCAGAAAACCTAGTGTCCATGACCAAATAAATTCTTTTAATGCATTTCTTAATTTATTTTAGATAACAAGGTGACTTATTGAACATATACCAAAAGTGCACAATAACTTCTACAAAAATTACAGTGGCTCACATATACTCTCAATAGTCTAATGTACAAATTTTACTCCATTTGAATATGTATAGCAACCTCTATGAAAAGAACAAGTTGCTAAAGCAAGAATTCATGTGAGAGCGAGATAAACCAATAACTCACTCATACTTCACCCAATACTCAT